GACAACAAATATTTTTTTCTATATATTTCTTGATAAACTTTTTGTTTTAAATTGTTGTAAATAGTATACCACAAAATATTAATTCAACGTTACAATGTTAATTTTTGCACTTACAAATGCCAGTTATGATACTGCACATTTCCGGCAGTTAAAATTTCTATGCAAAAGTACTAACGTCTTATACTATACTCCAGTTTATAATGTAATATAAGTGAATATAATAAATTTGTTTTTACAGGTGGCTGGAAGCCATACTGCTATATATGAAGCCTATTATAATCAGGTATACCTTTACGTTGGTGCAGCATTTAGTCATCCATTTATAAATCTAGATGATTTTAAGTTAAATATTTAAATAATATATAACAAGAATAAGAAATTGAAATATATTTGAAGGTGGATCCAAATGGATATGGACGAATCGGTGCAATGGAAGCTGCAAGATTTCTTAAGAAATCCCAGTTGAGTGATGTTGTACTAAGTAAAATATGGGACATGGCAGATCCACAATCACGTGGATCATTAGATAAATCTGGTCTTTTTGTTGCTCTTAAACTTTGTGCATTAGCACAAGCAGGAAGAGACCCTAGTATGTCAAATTTAAGTATGGAATTACCACCCCCAAAAATGGTAAGTTATTATATTACTTGATATGTAAAAACAATTATTTTACATATTATTCTCATTTATTTTTAGGGTGATATTCCTGTAATACCTCAAAAAAATGTAGTAAATACTTTACCAGTAATAACATCTGTTAATAATGGAGATTGGTCCATTAAACCTTCAGAAAGAGCCAAATATGATCAACTGTTTGATAGTTTACAACCTTCAAATGGATATATACCTGGAATTAAAGTAAAAGGTGTTCTTATGGATAGTAAACTTCCTTTGGATACACTTGGTAAGATTTGGGACCTTGCAGATATGGACAAGGATGGCATGTTGGATAGACATGAATTTGTTGTTGTAAGTATTTCCATTTTTTTGTTTGTGTAATATAATTTTACATTACTTGTTTGTTATGCAGGCTATGCATCTAGTGTATAAAGCTTTAGAAAAATATGCAATACCAAGTGTACTTCCACCAGAGTTGATGCCACCTGGAAAGAGGAAAGATTCTACAGCATCTATATCAAAATCTCCTGCACCAGTGGGAGTAATAACTACAGCTCCACCACCTATTCCACCTTTACCTAATGCTTCTTCTGTGAAGAGTATGACTGGTTTGGATACAGCAAAGGTATCTGGATTGTAATGAAACTATAAATTTAAAATCGTGAGTTTAATTAAAAAATATATTATATAGACAAATGTGCAGTGGGTAGTTTCATCTGAAGATCAAATAGCAGCAGATAAATTGTTTTTGCAAGCTGATCTAGATATGGATGGATATGTCTCAGGTATTGAAATCAAAGATGTCTTCCTTCAAAGTGGACTTCCACAGACTATATTAGCTCATATATGGTATATATATTTTAATTATGTTGTTTATAACTTATGTGTAAAAAGAACAAGACACTTCTTATTTACCTATGCATATTTATCTTTCAGGAGTCTTTGTGACACATGTCAAAGTGGAAAATTAAATAAAGAACAATTTGCTTTGGCTATGTGGCTCATTAAGCAAAAGCTTAGGGGTGTTGAACCACCTGCAACTTTGAGCCCTGATATGGTACCACCTTCTATGCGAAAACCATCTGAGACTGTTGTAGTAAGTATTTTGTTATATTAAAAGAATTTTTATTTATTTACATTTATTTCATAATATGTGTTATTTTGTTTTAAGTATATAATACATAATATAGTTAATGTTTTGTAAAACGTTTACGACCTTGAAATGCTCTCCAAAATACTATCAAGAATACAATAATTATTAAAATTCCACCAACCATAATTACACTATAATTTGTTTGCAATTCTATTTCTCCTGTTACATTTAGTTTTATTACACCAACAATTTCATTCTTTTGCCAACAACTGTAAGGGAGATGTATTATGTTAAAAACATTACTATTTAATTCAATTGTAAATAATTATTTACCTATAGATGTTGCTATCTGCAAATGTTAATGTTTTGAAAATTATATGCATTTGTGGATTGATATAAATTCTTCCTTGAGATTGATCTTTAATAACAGATGGATTCAAAACTTTATTATCAACTTTCCAATTAATCGGTATATCTGTATTTAAATTTCTGAAAAAAATGTAAGAAATGGAAACAATTCTTTAATTCTCAATATATTATTTTTACCCTGGGCATGCAAGAATTGCTTTTTTATTATATTTTCGATAAATTGACGTGCGTATAATTTGTGGTAATGGAGTGGGCATCCCTTGAACCATAGAATATATGCCTGCACTGTTATTTGCACTTTCAAGTATATTTCCCTTTTTGTCTCGTACTTCAAATATTATATTTTGTGGACACTTTATCTAAAAATAAATTATTTGTTTATGATATTAAATATTAAGTGTAATATGAAGTATTTGTACTTGTAAAATTTAAAAATACCTTGCAATATCGTACCATCATTTCTGTTTTTCTATCTTTAATATCTAGAGTATCCAAAATTTCTTTTGGTAAATATTTACTTTTACAAGGCAGTTTATTTCTAAATATGTGTAAAATCGTTTTGACTTTAGCCATAACACTTTCATCTAAAATTTTATTTTGTGCTGTAGTTTCTCTTGTTTCATTTTGTTTGTTTTCTGCAACTAAATATTATATATTTGTATTATTTTAATGTTTTATTAGAAGTAATGCATGATATAGAAGAAAAAGTATACTTTGTCTTTTGTAATTTTGTAAACGTTTCTCTTCCATTATCATATTTTCCTTAATAATGTTCATATGTAAAGAAATAGTACAATATCCATATCGAACTTTTTTACCAACTGTATTACATTTAGAACATGAGGACCATTTAGTCCATGTTGTATGAATATTTATATTATATAATGGCATTATCTTTTGTGGTATTGCATGAGGCATGTTGGGTGCTGTTGCAGGATGCACAATTTGTACTTCTTCAGAATTAGTATCAACTGATATATGATAAGATATTGATAATGTATCTCCTAATTGACACCAGTATTGACCAGCTTGTTCAGACTATACAAAGTTATATGTTGCTTCAGTGCATGTATTAATGTTATTTAGTAATTTATACCTTAATATTATATATGATTAATATTTTGTCCTTTGGTGAAATGAAAACGCTTTCTGATTCCTCTACAAGTCTATTTGCTTCATTATTAACAATACTGTTAAAATACCATTCTATATTGTCACTGACATATACTTCTACTGGTGAAATACATATTTGACATTTTAATCTGAAATTTGTAATGCACTAATCATAGTATTCTAAAGTATGTGATAAATGCAGTTTCTTTGTCATACATGACTAATGTTCCTTCTAAGGCTTCAAGAGCTATTGGATATATTATCTTTTCTGATCCAATTTCAGTATATGCTTTCTTTAAACATATGTAATAATCTTGCCATAATTGTCGATGTATTTTTCGAAGTGTTTCATTTGCTTTTGGATATTCGTATTCATTAATATCAAAAAGAAATTCCCCACCTCAGTATAAATAAAATTCTGTGTTTATTGAAAGATAGTAAAGAAACGTAAAAAGTATATTATAAGACATTTGTTATTACCTTGTTGCTTATTCAATATTTTATTAATTTTTTTACGAAGTTCACCATATTTTTTCCATAAATTTATTCCTATTGTAAAATTGGAAGTTATATTTATTAAACAGTAAAAATACAAAATTAGTCTTAACCGCATGATAATTTATTTTATAATATATCTGTGTGAAGCTTGAAGTATGATTTTCAATTTTTTTATTCATTTGAAACTTAATTCCTTATATTGAAGTAGAAAAATCATGTCAAAATACTGTAAACATAATTTAAATCTAGCACTAGATATGTGCTCATCATGTAAAAAAAAATACAATTTGGACATTGGAAATTGTATAAAAATTGTACCCATTTTAATAGATTATAAATCTTGTATGGTTGCTTTAAAGAGGGAAAAAGCAAAAAATGTTGCACTTGCAAAGCAGTTACAAATAGAAGCAAAGGAAGCAAGATTAAAATCTCTGTATGATACTGATGATTTTGAACAAATCAAACCTAAGACTCGTTGCGAGTACATGCAAGAATTTGTCATGAACACATTAAATGACAGTACTTTTATTGCAATAGACTGACTTAATATTGAATCTATAATACATAATGTGTTAACAAATTATAAAAATGTTTAATATCTCTATTGAACAATTTTGGGAAAAATGTTTTATTCTCTATGTGGTATATTAATAGAAGAGAAATAAACAAAATGTAGAGGAAATTCAAATTATTTAGTAAATTTTTACAATTGATGTAATGATTGATTTATTATATAATATTTAAAAAATATTATACAATTCATTGTGTATTGTATAAAACATGATTATGTAAATAGAAAAATTATATTTTTACCATACAGGTGGTATCTAAATTTTTGTTTAAATATTTCTATTATTTATTATTTATGAACTAATTGTATTGTTACTTCCATGTAATCAACACTATTTCATACAATTTAACATTTTTTGTATAAAATACTTTTTTATGTTTAGGAGAATAACAATGTATCTGGTTATTCAAATCCAGAATTAGACATGATAAGTAAGGATATAGCAGAACTTGTAAGAGAGAGACAAAGTATGGAACAGGATATAGCACAAAAAGAAGCTGATATTAAGATAAAGAATGGGGAAATTAAGAGTTTGCAAAGTGAACTAGATACACTTGCTGCTACATTAAAACAGTTGGAGAATCAAAAAGGTGAAGCTCAAAAGCGATTGAATGATTTAAAAACTCAGGTAAATAAAATTAATTTGGCACAATTAGATGATCTGCTTTTTGAATGTGCAGCTTTGCTTTTATATAAAATTAGAAACGTGTATTTGTGAATTGTATATAATGCTTTTGTTAAGATGTGTAAATAATTAAGTGTAATAGAATTTTTATAACTCTGAAATTATTATTTGAAATAAATTAAGGTTTAATAATATAATCTAACACTGCATAATATTGTATTATTAAATTATCAAACATCTTATGGATTATTTTTTGACAGATATCATAAAAGATAGTTAACAATTCCAAAGAAATGTAAGAAAGCTTTTT